TCGATAATGTATCACAAATTGACCGATAGTGTATCACCAATCGATAGTGTATCACAAATTGACCGATAAAGTATCAACAACTGATAATGTATCACCTACCGATAGTGTATCACAAATTGACTGATAGTGTATCACCAACCGATAATGTATCACAAATTGACCGATAGTGTAATAAACTTTCCAACCCATAATGTACCACGTGTCAACGGACAATGTACACGTAGTAGAAAAAATACTCTAACCGATAATGTATCACAACAGAACCGACATGATGTATCAACCGACAAATGTATCAGTGCCCATTATGACCATACATGACTTGACAAGGTTTCATAATCATGTCATTAGACTGACACTTGCTGTGGGGACAGTTTAACAAAACAAATGTTTGACAAAACAAACTCAAACTTAGTTTCTTGCCCTAGTTTTGTGCAGCACAAGGCCCACGGATCGATGGGAAACGAGGTTGCTGCAACTTGGTGGGATTATGTAGCAGGTGTAGTTTGGTACAGTGCGGTACGAGTGCACACATGTACATTCAATACATGATAAGTGGTGCCGTGAGCTACACGTTGGTACATACACCCCAAGTGCGATAACAGCTTCACACGTAGGTTAACTTCTGTACTTTCGTGGTGATCAATGCGCAACAAAAATGCCGAAAGCATCGTCCAAATGTACTGTTGGAAAATGGCAGAGAGATATGCCATGGCTGACATCGTCCTTTACTTTGAGTTATGTAGCTTGCAAGAGGCCCAAATCAAAGCCCTTCAAAATTCTGCAGAACATTTGTCAGATCTCAATAAAGCACCGACTCCTACTGTGATTTCTGATAAGTGCAATTTGTAGTGATGTACATGTACCTGTATCCCACTTCCCTTTTCTTGTCAAATATTTTACTAATGTTTACATGTAAGTCATCAACCGATCTAGGTCAAATGTAGAACATCTCGGGATCTAAAATGGCACCCCAAAAAATTATGAGTAGGGACTTGGAGTCAGCAGATTTTTTGTTTATTTTCCCCTTGGATTGTGTAAAAAATTGTTTCTCCACCCAATTTTGGCCAGAGCCATAACCAACAACCATGCTATACCATACCTGTGTGTTGTTTCATTTTTTAGCCTTGGTGTACACATCAGTGGATATACTGGTAAAAACTGTATACCATGGTACTGAATTAGGCCCATTTATTTTTTGCTAGTCAATTTCATCATAATGCTAATCAAATGACAATATGATTAGCAACTTTGCTAATCAAGTTTATTGTCCTATTTCAATTACTGTACTATGTTCGTAGCCTAAAAAGTGATAGCCGATACAATATTCAGCTTTTGCTAACAAGTGTTGTGACATGAATTCAACCGGGCACTGCACAGTTCTACAAATCAGCCTTTCGATGGGAGGAAGTACAGGGAACAGTTTGGAATCACACATCAAAATTAAATGCAGATTTGTAAAATGAAATTTCTGACAAATAAAGATGAAATCTATCACAGTGTCTACATTCACTGCAAATCCTTTTTTTTATCTCACACACATGCATTAAAAGGCAACAATCCCAAAGCTTAAAGCACAGATGTATGGCCCTGCTCCTGAATAAAAATATATTCAAGCAAGAAGGATCACGTTTGCACTGTGCTCTGTGCAATCACATCTGGATCGGACTAGTTGTGGCTGTGATGCACTGGCAGTAGGCCCACACGACTCGACTAGTCTGTATCATGGAGAAAAGACACAAGGTAGTGGTCGCTTGCAACTGTCAAGTTGTGTAATGTGTGCGAACCTACTAGCCAAGCTCGGTGTGTACAAACTTTACATGGGCAGGCTGCTCTGAACAGGAGATTGCGAGTGCATGTTGTGCATACCTGGCGTGGCGTTGCATGCTCTGCAGGGCCTGGCAGGTACTCCATCCATTGTGTACCTGTACCTGTAGTTGTGGGTATGTACTTTCGACTAGTCGCACGGGCCTACTATCATCACTAAAAAACCCACTTATTGACGTCAGGAGTTCCAAATTCAGATTAATGAACATGCCGTTCCGATTGTGGTTTGGCCGGGTTTTCCAGTACATACAGGTCTTTAAATTAGACGTTCTGATCGCAGATTTTCCAGTTGACATTGATATTTAAATGGCCTGACCTAAATTTGCATAGGGCATTCTCCATTCTGAACGCGAAGCGGACGGAATATTCATGTTTACAGATTAACATACACCGTTCTTGCCGCATACAGTCATTGTTGTCAAGTGCTCTTCTGTTAAAAAAGTTTGCGGACTCCAGCAGGAAGCATGGTAAGGCCTCGCTGGCAAGCCCCCTAATTATCCCCAAATAATTATTTTTATAAATCTGAAGGTGCTAATTTGTATTTTCCATGATCAAAGTCACTCTTTTAGAAGTTTTGAAAAATAACATGTGGAGTTGCATTTTGGTCCATTTTATGAAGAACGTGCCATATAACGAAAGGTACATGTACATGCATTTAAACAAAAACTTATGCATACATGTACATGTACCCTTTACCTACGGTCGATTGGTGATAAATGCATCAAACAGTACGGCAGCTTTTGCACAAGACGAGGTCATAATACAAGCTAATTTAGTACAAGTCCAAAGGCCCTCATATTAACGAGAGTCGACTGTACATGTACCTGTATACTGTACCTGGTAATCCTAACGTTACACATGACTTATTACTCAGGGGTTTTAGGGCCGAGTCAATTCGAATAATTCACTATTTGAATATTTGGAGCTTCAATTCCATCAAATATTCGGTCGTACAGACTGTTAGATTGTTGTTGGACAAACCACATGTACAACTATTTAATACTGGAGAGACATGAGACAGGTTTATAAAAACCTGCCTAAAATTAAATCTGGATTTGTAGTCCCATAAGAAATGTATCTTATGTGGACCTCAATACATGAAGTCATGCAATAATATTGTTACATGTATCATAGACACAACCACCACATTTTTATAAGAACTAAACATGATGGTAACGGTTGTAAATGAGACACCAAAATGTGACCTGGCAATAATGATGGATTAAAAAGTCTGTAATAACTGTTATAAGTGTGGTTTGATTTTGTTCCTGTTGTATTTTATGTTTTATGCCTTCTGAATGCTTGCACGTATGTTCAGTTGAATAACTGACAGATCGTGTATTTTGTAAAGTTGTCTTAGTTTATGGTAACGTTCGTAATATGTGGTGTCCTGAGCAGTTACGAGCGTGCACCGATGCCAATTGCAGCCACATATGGGACGAGAAAAACGGAGCATGCACATGTACGTGTGTAGTCTACATACTCGTCTACGCAATATTGGCAGTGTAATTTTCATGGAGCCTGGGAACAGGACTATGTGCCCACTAGTGTATGTAGTCTACATACTCGGAACCAGACTAACAATTACCAGCGATGCATAGTGAAACATTTCTCATGTACATGTGTACATATAAACCGGCCCAGATAGCTACAGAATACCAGCAAATATTGTTACGTCTAATCTTGCGTGTGGCATGCATTCTATCTCTCATTTTACATGTTTTGCTCTTTGTGCAAGCTCTACTAGTCCACGCTTTCATTTGCTTAAAAGTGCGTTTCCTCCTTGTTTTTTTTACGTTTTGACCAGCTTCTTTATTTCATTTTTTGAGTGCATTATGCAATGTCAAAGAAGCTGAAGTTAGATGTAGAATTTTTAAAGATCTGCAGCGAGCCGAAAGTGTGATTTATCAGTCGGGAGTGCTGCATTAAACACCGACTTTGCCAAGGTTATGCTCTCTCAACCGATGACAAACTGTCTATTAGTCACAATATTTTCTTTTGACGAACTTGAAGTTCATCGCGTTATGAAAGCTGTCCTGGACAACAAGTTTGTGGATCCCATTTTAATTTCCCAAGGTTTATCTGCTCAGTTTTACTTTTGTGCATTTTTGTATTTTTAGTCATTTTTTATCTAGTGTTTCTTGTGTTTGTTGACATTTTTATGGAGACCCTCTCGACAGTGATTGGGTTTGCTTTTAGGCTATCCGTAGGGGTGTCAGCTAATATTGTTCTTATATATTGATATATATCGGTTTTTGTATTTTGTGTTGTTTTTGTACCCTGAGAAATAATAAATGAAATGAAATGACATCGAGTTGTGTGAAGCACTGTGCATCATCACTCGGGTAGAACACAGGCCATCCAGTATTTCCAGGCCTAGTTTGTACTAGTAGTACAAGTACTAGGCCTACTGGTAATTTGTGATGCTCAACATCCAGCTCTGGCTCTGGCTCAACTTCCCGAAAATACAACTTTGATCTACAAAAGCATGAAAAGAGGGATAGAATACTTGGGCTGAAAGAGACTTTCCAGTTGTTGGATGTCAGTTTATCACATGAAAAAAAATTTTTTTAGCTTAGCAGCGTAGCTGTCCGCTGCCATCTTGCCTCCTCATTGAACTTACTGGACTGTATTTATGCTGCTGACCAGAGGAAATTGTTCCACGAAATCACAAATAGGACCTTCATCCATGCCATGTGAAGTTATGTGTGTGCAACAATAAATTTGTGTTAATTTGTAATATAAATGATGCACCATGATATCTAAAAACCTTGCAGCATACAGATTGGATGCTTAGATTGCTGTGCATACATCACCGTGTGACCTTTTTTCAAACTCACAAATACAGCGCGACAGGCATAACAACCAACTAGTATAATGAACACTTTCCGGACAAATTTAAAAACTGACATTAGAATTCGGTTAAATTTGTTAAAACTTTTAACTTTTTGCTTTCCTTTCCTGCAGCACAGCAGATGGATTGCATGCAACAAGTGCTCAAAATGGTTTCACCAGGAATATGTGGCCATCAAAGTTAGTGATGAAGAGGCTGCAGACTTCAAGTTTTTGTGTCCATTATATGCTCTATAAATCAACTTTTGAAGCACTTTTTGACAAAGCAGTTAAGCTACAAAAACTTTGACCAATTCGGTGTGTTAGGTTACAATGTTGTCACTGTGTGTGACGTCCTCAAAATTATTGCGCAGTTTGAAGAGTTGTAAACGTATACATGTATTGTTACTGATTTCTTTATTTAAGAAATCCGCCAGCCTGGTACATTAAATCATTTGATGTACAGGCACCCATTTCAATAACACCTCTTATAGATTCCCCACCTGATGTGTATATGCTCTTAAATATTGAATATACGGCAACGTTGTAATCGACTCTCATTAAGAGTAAGACCTTTACAAAACCACACGAGACCTCCAGTCCGAATTCGAGTTGCAAGCTACATGTACATGTATTTAATTGAACTGCAACAACAACATTCCTCTGTCATTGTTCACCCTGTTTCTTGGGAGTGGCCATGTTTGTGGTCTTTTGTAGATGCATGCAGACTTTTCTTGTGCAAGGTAGATGCGTGTAAACTTTTCTTGTACAGGGTAGATGGGTGTAGACTTTTCTTGTACAGGGTAGATGCGTGTAGACTTTTCTTGTACAGGGTAGATGGGTGTAGACTTTTCTTGTACAGGGTAGATGCGCTTAGACTTTTCTTGTACAGGGTAAATGTGTGTGGACTTTTCTTGTACAGGGTAGATGCGCTTAGACTTTTCTTGTACAGGGTAGATGGGTGTAGACTTTTCTTGTANGTTGGATGTCAGAAATCAATTTGCAAAATGGAGTTTATCACATGAAAAAAAAATTTTTTAGCTTAGCAGCGTAGCTGTCCGCTGCCATCTTGCCTCCTCATTGAACTTACTGGACTGTATTTATGCTGCTGACCAGAGGAGATTGTTCCACGAAATCACAAATAGGACCTTCATCCATGCCATGTGAAGTTATGTGTGTGCATATGTTTGTAATATAAATGATGCACCATGATATCTAAAAACCTTGCAGCATACAGATTGGATGCTTAGATTGCTGTGCATACATCACCGTGTGACCTTTTTTCAAACTCACTAATACAGCGCGACAGGCATAACAACCAACTAGTATAATGAACGCTTTCCGGACAAATTTAAAAACTGACATTAGAATTCGGTTAAATTTGTTAAAACTTTTAACTTTTTGCTTTCCTTTCCTGCAGCACATCAGATGGATTGCATGCAACAAGTGCTCAAAATGGTTTCACCAGGAATATGTGGCCATTAAAGTTAGTGATGAAGAGGCTGCAGACTTCAAGTTTTTGTGTCCATTATATGCTCTATAAATCAACTTTTGAAGCACTTTTTGACAAAGCAGTTAAGCTACAAAAACTTTGACCAATTCGGTGTGTTAGGTTAGAATGTTGTCACTGTGTGTGACGTCCTCAAAATTATTGCGCAGTTTGAAGAGTTGTAAATGTATACATGTATTGTTACTGATTTCTTTAAGAAATCCGCCAGCCTGGTACATTAAGTCATTTGATGTTCAGGCACCCAATTCAATAACACCTCTTATAGATTCCCCACCTGATGTGTATATGCTCTTAAATATTGAATATACGGCAAGGTTGTAATTGACTCTCATTAAGAGTAAGACCTTTACAACACCACACGAGACAAAGAAGACGACCTCCAGTCCGAATTCGAGTTGCAAGCTATTTAATTGAACTGCAACAACAACATTCCTGTGTCATTGTTCACCCTGTTTCTTGGGAGTGGCCATGTTTGTGGTCTTTTGTAGATGCATGTAGACATTTGTTGTACAGGGTAGATGCGCTTAGACTTTTCTTGTACAGGGTAGATGGGTGTAGACTTTTCTTGTACAGGGTAGATGGGTGTAGACTTTTCTTGTACAGGGTAGATGGGTGTAGACTTCTTGTANGTGTGGACTTTTCTTGTACAGGGTAGATGCGCTTAGACTTTTCTTGTACAGGGTAGATGGGTGTAGACTTTTCTTGTACAGGGTAGATGCGTGTAGACTTTTCTTGTCCAGGGTAGATGCGTGTAGACTTTTCTTGTCCAGGGTAGATGAGTGTAGACTTTTCTTGTCCAGGGTAGATGCGTGTAGACTTTTCTTGTCCAGGGTAGATGTGTGTAGACTTTTCTTGTCCAGGGTAGATGCATGCAGACTTTTCTTGTCCAGGGTAGATGCGTGTAGACTTTTCTTGTCCAGGGTAGATGCATGCAGACTTTTCTTGTCCAGGGTAGATGCGTGTAGACTTTTCTTGTCCAGGGTAGATGCGTGTAGACTTTTCTTGTCCAGGGTAGATGCGTGTAGACTTTTCTTGTCCAGGGTAGATGGGTGTAGACTATTTTTTACCGTGTTCATGTGCATGCACACGTGTAGACCTTTCTCATTATGCTACGTGTAACGATAGGTATTGGTAGACGTTCGGATCATTAACTTACACACGTGCTTGAGGGCGCTTCTTCAGTCCAATTCGAGTAGCCGTGTATGTAGTCTACACACATACCACTCAAGTTTTTTTGGTCCCATATCTTGCTGGGTATAACTGATGCTGCTCTATCACCACCAAAAGTTTTAGTTTGCCCAGTTGCACCAATCAATTAAATATGACCCATCTGTAAATTTAGAATACCCAAGGAATCTGTTGCGAAGAATAAAGTTTGTAGACTTTTCTCACCTTAACCCTAACCTTCCCCATACACACAGAATTAAACAGTAGTAAAGTGTTTAATTCTGTGGGGATAGGTCTGGGCGGCCCAAACAGCTGGCTTTTGCATTGGGTTTGGCATACCTCAGCCTCTGTGCACGAAATCCCATATGGGTGTTTAACTTTGTGTGAATGGGGAAGGTTAGGGCCAGCAACCCTTGGGGGGGGGGTTAGGGTTTATAAAATATATACTTGTACCCCCAGTGAGGCACACTTGGGATCCATGTGATTCCCAGGTCCAAATTTTACTGGTTCATAACACTGCGGGATTTTGAATGTACCCAGTTATTGCGCCTAAAACTACATTTTCTCAATCAAATCTTCTCCCAAAATGCTATCAAAACTAAATCATATCTCTTTAACATGCATGTTTAATGATTTTTGGACCGTGTAACCACTGAATACCAGCTATATTTTTGGCAAAATCCAGACTTTTTACTTACGATCCTGCCTCTCTTCACCAACAATCCACACATCGTAAGCTTCATACTGCAGCGCATGTCTGTTGAAACAAAGACTGTTTCCCATCCCGTCCCAATACTCCAAATGTATATAAACCAACGGCAACCAGTCCAATAACGCACCTCATTCCCACGGGTATGATTTTGCCCCACCACATTGGTTGCCAGCAAAGGAACGCACACACAGCCTATGGAGTCAAGGTTGGCAATGACACGACCATAGAGTTACATATTTTTATATGTAACTCTATAGACACGACGCATTGAGCGTCATTGGACTGGTCGTTGTCCCTATACATTTGGAGGATTGAGATGGGACGGGAACCAGTTTGACTCTTAGTATAAATGGCCAAGCGCAACAGTGTGAAGCTGTAATGTGCATATCGGTAAAACCTCTGAAATCCGACAGTTCACGAACATACAAAAATCGCAGCTGATCGCAAGTTCCACAGCAATGGCAACAAAACACTTTTAGGATCAGCACACTCCAAACTTTCGGAAAACACTACTTTTACCTTCTCTCCCCTCTGTACTGATGGTCTTTTTTTACGATTTTTGTGACAATTTTTGTCGGTTTTCCAATGAAAATTGGTGGCATTAAATGGTGTGATTTTAACACGTTTTATTATTTAACATTAGTGAAATTACCCGTGAAGTTTGGAAAACTTTGGTATCAGTCGAAAGCTCAGAATCTCTTTGAATGAGAATATTACATAAAAACAACTTAGGCCAAGGGCGTTTACCAGTAGAGGAAGAGAACTCAAAGTTCAAAGGGTTTTGAGGACTGATTTGCAAGATGGTGTCCTCTGGTGAAGCTGCTATCACCTGACTGTGAAGCTCTCCGATTCATTGTTCTTTCTGATTTATTTTTTAAATGTTAGTCCAAACTAATGAGACATTTTGAAAGAGAGTTTATGGCTACAAGAGGATCACAAATGTAAGCTGAAATGATGGAGATTAGGCTTAATATTTTTACGGTAGATATTTGTCATCGAGTTTTTACACACAAGCACTAGCAGATACGACTGCGTGATAATTCTGTCGAACTCTCTACCCTACAAATACAATTCCCTACAACATGTAGGTCTAACGTTACTTACCAACTTCACCTGGGACGCTGACACTCGCCCCAAAAAGTTTTCCAGAAAAACTAGTTCCATCCTCCAAATAAAGCGTAGCAGCCATATCTGAGCTGCTAAAGGTCTTCGTCTTGTGTTAGTACTAGGCCTATGCAGACTTGACCATCAAAGGCAACTAAACAGACAAGTCCACGCTGAATCTGATTACGATGTTCTGAATTTCCCGCGAGATGAGTCAACACGCGCCAAATATACCGCACCCCGACCTTTGACCCGTGACAGCACGACGAAACAAGCAGCACACACGTGGAGTCTCCAAGCACAAAGACGGCTTTGAGGATTCCTTTGTTTTTTTCATCAGAGAAAGAAGAAAACGGAGCCAAAATTTCCCCAAGCGAAGGCAGCTTGTTTGCTTCCAAGATGACACAAGTTCTTAATAAAATCACTTCGATTTTTTTCGAAACTGGTGATGAAATTGGGACCTGTTGGAGAGAACACCACCAATCTGGCAAGCCGCCATGTGCGTTGTAGTTAGTCGGTTCTCGATGCCTATATATGATTTCGGAAAATGTTGGATATGGCTGGGTACCAGCCAAACTAACTTCGCGCAGAATTAGAAGCAAAGAACTCGTGGTTCGTCCGTCGTCCCATTTTCGGATCAAGGCCTCTAGTCAAGACTCAAAGCGGCTCTGTTCAGCGTAACAGAGGCAGAGAAGTTAGCTAATTTCAGACCAAGATTTGGAGCTTTCCCAGCTGGTCCAGACAAGGAATGCTAGCAACTCATCTTGAATTCCGAAAGAAAGCCGTAGCTGAGAGGAAGTAGGGATTTGAAAATGGCATGACGTCATGTAGCTTTCGCTGTTCACATGATGATTCACGGCCGATATATTGAAAGCGTTTATTTGTGTTCTTTACATCTGGAATTAGTGACGTCATTAATTCGCGTTCGCGCTGAATATCAAGCAGCCTTAGCGATTCGTAAGTTTCTTGTTAAAAAAAAGGAATAAGAAAAATATTACACTCGCCTGGACACTGCAGAGTTTTTGCCTTTTAAAGAATGCGTTCATTAGGCCTACTGGAAAACAGTTTACATTCGAGGGTCAATGTTGTCTATTAGCCTGTAACTTGTAAGGCCTGTGCTGCCTAATCCAAGGCCTATAGCTAAAAATGAACAGTCTCATCCAACCAGAACGGAAATATTATAGTCTTCCATTACAGGGCCGGATGTTTAAAACTATAATTGAAAAATCAATTGAAAAATCAAATCTGAAATGGGCCGTTGATGGTTAGGCCTACTTTGCCACTTTGTCTCGCTGCGGTCCAAAGAGTAACGAATTACAAAATGTTTTTCATTCACCAATCTGAATATATCTAAATTCGTCCAGGACGAATTTCACATGCTATTGGAAGAGTATTTAGTCATTCATTCAGTTTGGGTGACCCCATTTGAACACCGTGTTGGTGAAATTCGTGTATAAGTTGTTGCTGAATGGCGGCGTTCAGGGATCGAATTTTATCAATCACTTGAATATTTTATGTTTAAAGCGCTGTGATACCAGTTTCTGTATTCGAACACTGTATAATTTTTATTTTATTATATAAAACGTTTGCGAGGTAAATTAGTCATGTGTGTAAGTAGTTCTCCATGTCTTTGGAGCAATTCGGTGTGATAAATTAACAACAAAGGTGAAAAAGTTAACAAAACCCCCAAACGTGAAGTTATTTTAGTTTTCTAAATAAATCAAACGATCCAAGAGCGAAAAAAATTCACGTAACAATATTAAAAAAACACAGGATGTTCCTTACTTTCGTTCTCTTACTTTGTGTGCAGCTTAATTGACTGAGTCTAAAATGTTGCGAGAAAATTAATTCAGAGAAACAAAACACTTATGAATTACAAATGAGACATGGTGCGAATGTTTTTGCATTCGTCGTACTTAGTAGTAGGCGGAGGAGAGTTCAAGAGCAGCCCTACCCTCCTATACCTACCCGACCCCCCCCCCAACTGGGAGTTCCCCTACCCTCCAGACCAACTCCCCCGGGCTTTCCCCACTTCTCCGGGGAAAAAACCGGTGTCCCCTGAAGTTTTAAGAATAAAAAAAATAAAATTTTAAAAGTCTATATTAAAACAGAGATGCCAAACCAAAAAACCAACGTCAAGTGTTCCTTTTGCAAAAACACCAGTCAATCTGTTAACGTGATAGATGCTTGTGATTGTAGAGGATGTTCAGATTCTTTTCGCATTATTCGATGTCACGACTGTAAGAAAAACATTGTACATCTTGCGACGAATGTGAAACCTGCGAATATTGTGTAAACTGCGACGTTTGCAATAATTGCACTGATTGTGTAGATTGCATTGATTGCGGAAATTGTGCTAATTGTGACAGTTGTTCTTGCTGTACCGGCTCAGATAATTGCATAGAATGCAATAACTGTAACGAGTGCAATTATTTCATCAACTGCGAAGACCTGAACGGTGAATCGTTTTTAGTATTTGTCTATGACGACAACAGCGGCTATGGTTGCTACAAAAGGATGAGATTTAGAACACCGGACGACCCCGGGCCAGAATCTGACTTGGATGTAGACGTAGAAAAACTCAGCTTAATATTTGAATATAACGAAGAAGTACAAATAACCGCGATTCCACAAGCACTACAGTTACCCGAAGACCTTCGCGAAGATTATGACTATTGCACACGTTTAACTGACGTGGTAGATTAAGCCCCTTAAACAAATAAGTAATTACAAACATGGATGATTATTATTTACCACCGTTTACAATGGAGTTATACGATTCACTGAACGAAAAAAACCCTAAATCAGCCTATATGAAAATCGAAGAAGACACATGCCCTCACATAAAAAAGAATAGAAGGCGGACATGTATTTTGCCCCGATTGTTTTAGAATACTACAGCCTTATTCAGACTTTGAAGCAGGAAACGTAGGTGACAAATACAATCAGCGTTTTGTTTACAAAAAGCCGAAATCAAAGTCCGACAAGATTTTAAAACAACTAAGCACTCAATTGGTGGAAGGTCAAGCACGTTCCATAGAATACAAATTAAACCAAATTTTAGCAGGCAAGATCTCTAGAGGACAACCACTCACGGCAAGTTGGTGGCGGTGTGTTATCAAGACGTAACCGGGGAAACAGGAGACAAAGTAAAAGACCTGTTTCAAGTCTCAGAGAAACACTTCAACGATGCCGTTAATAAGTTTAAATTTTATGAAGAACAGTACAATTTTTAAAAACCTCTTTATAGTAAAATGGAAATGCATTCTTTTTATTTGACCAAAACTTCACTGACGTTTGAATTAGAAAATCAAATCAATAATTTAAAAGCCGATAAAAACATTAAACTCAAAAAGGCAAGTTTTCACCCGGGATATTTTAAAATTACAAAATCTACCGAAATCGAATGGCAAATCCAAGTCGAAGGAAGTCCTGCTGAAAGAGGGGCCGAAGGAGTTAGACAAGCACCAAGCCCAGCAAATACGAGACTTGATAGGCAAGATATTGAAACAAGTATTATAGATACATTTGAACTAACAGTGCCATTCTCAGAATTAGAAGCAGCTAATTCAGTTTTGTTTTATGACGTAATGAGAGATTACCTTCGAGCTAATGAGGCAAGAAATCTAGATGAATATACCGCCTCAGTGAACCAAAGAATAAATGACCTCAACGAACAAAAAGCAAACTTGCAAAGGTTATATCTAAAAGAAGGAATTATTAGAAATCAAGAAAGAGCAATAGAATATTTAATACTTTTAACTCAAGAAAAAAAACCGATATTTATCAGGAAGCCCGCCGCATCGCTTTAGAATTCATTCAAGAGGGATTTTAAGCAACGACAACGAAGAAAGAACGAGAACCATTAGAGCCGTCCAAATTGAACCCAGACCCACTCTTATAGTTACGGCTTCTGGTTCTAATGCCCCGGTGGTGGATCGGTTGCACAAGAGAGAAACGCCCGCAGATTTTTGCAAGGTGGAGAACGTGGGAATGTTATTATTCCACCGGGGTTTTACAACGTGGATTGGTCTGATTTTATTTTAAACGCCATTTCAGGTGTGAGTTTTAAAGTTCATGAGAAGTCAAACATGGTGACAGTTATGATAACGGATTTAAAACTAAGATTGCGGTTAGGTAAAGAAGTCGGCAAGCTGTTGAATTTGCCGAGGGGTAGGCTCGTTCTAAACGCTATCTACAAGGGAAAGATAAACACAAATCCTTTTGAGGAACTTTGGATACACTGTCGAGAAATAAACAACTATTTTAATTATTTCAACGGGCAACCTTTATACGTGTTGTCTACCACTTCAGACCCGAGCGAAAGCGCTAAGTATAGTAAACGATCAAATAACGAGTTTACATTTTTCGTTGAGAAATGAAAAAGAAGAAATTATTAACAATAAAGACGGTACAATTTTAATCGACCTGGATGTTTTTTTTTAAAAGCCGGTTTATAATGAAATGGAAACGCATTATTTTTATTTGACCGAAAATCCACAGACGTTTGAATTGAAAAATGAGATCAATAACACAAAAGGCGACAAACTCGTGAGAGTAAAAAATATACAGTTTACTAAAGCAGGGTATTTTAACGTGACTGACGTAAACCCGCTACTATGAGTGAAACGAGTCGGAAAGCCATACGAAGGATTAAAAACGAGTTTTTAGAAGCGTTTGAACAAAACACACTAGATGCAAAAATTGAAGAACAACAACAAAGAATTAAAATCATAAATCAACGGATCAAGGATTTATCAGTACAAATAGAACAAGAAAGATACGAACCAACAAAACAAGATTTATGTCAGCGGATATCTGATTTAAATCAAATAATAAACGACGAACGTGAAGGTAAACAATTATCTTTAGAGGAAATCGAGGAAAACGACGAGCCCATAAAACGTTTTCTCACGGGATTTAGAGGGCCCATACTTCATATACTTAACTCTCAAATCTCATCTCAACCATTACCCGTGGGCCAAAGAGGAAGCATCGTGGTGTTTTCCGGTTATTACGACATAGATTGGTTTAACTTTTTGTTAAATTCAATCCCATCTTTCAAAGTCCATTCAAGGACAAAGAGGGTGACCTTGGCCATTACGGACTTCAACCTCAAGATGAGACTAAATAATCAAGTAGCCATGGTGTTAAACCTACCCAAAATCAAACTTTTACCAGACATCATTTATGAAGGTAAACATGATGTAAACCCGTTTATTCATTGCAAACAGTTAAATACCCAAAACAACTTTTATAATGGGTAGTCTTCGGGCTTGTTGGACGTGGTACTAAGCTGACCTTTTCTTTAAAAAACAAGCGAGGAGAACTGGTAAACAACAAATGCGCTGGAATTTTAATCGAGTTAGACATTTTTAAAACGTGTATATAATAAAATAGATGACAACGAACGACCAGTCAAACATGTATCCAGGCTTGAGTGGGTACCAAGCCGATTAAGCAAACGCGACAAAAGTCCACCCAACGCCTTCAAAAGATCGAAGACATCCGCGGACAAATCTTACGAGAACGCGACGCACGTGAGACTTTTTACAAAAAGATCAAACGGCTATTAACCGCGCTAAATTACGTGGAATACGGAGTCGAAGCAATAGGTGCTACATCAGCCGCTATAGGCATTTCCGCTATATTGGGGGTTATTACCAGACCCGTCGGACTAGTGATGGAAGGCATATACGCGTTTGGTGCTTACGCGATGTTAAAGTACGCCAGTCGTAGGTTAACTCACCAAACCAAAAAGCACGATAAAATCCGCGTGCTTGCAGACGCCAATCTAAACACCATAGATAAGTACGTCTCACACCCGATCGAAGACAGTGACGTGTCTCAAGAAGAATTTTGATTTTGTCTGAACTCAGGAAATTTAACGAGTTGAAGGAAAAGATTCGCTCAAACACAACGACAAAGTTGTAGGAAGCTAAAATAAACCGAGCAGAATTTGACCGCCAAGTGTAAGCAAAATTGGAAACGCAAAGGCAGCAGTTTAAAAAAAGGACCTTATGAAAAAACTTGGCGAATAACTTTTACAAAGTCTGTCAGGTTTTTGGAGGAACAACCGCCTGCATACCAAAATATTACGGTACCCATCACACCTGCTTTTTAAAACCGGTTTATTATAAAGTAAAAGTAAGATGGGAGCCAAATTTAGTCAATTACCGATAGTAGTCAATAAAGATTATTACTTTTCTGCCGTGTTTCCCAATTTAGCCGCGGCGTATAAACTTCTAAAAATGAAAACCTACTCGAAGCAGTTGACAGTTGGTCGACAGACCAGTATTGGGGGGGCCTGTTTGGCACACTTTGACCTTGAAATATAGCACAATTTGACCTTTGGAGATGGTGGCATTAATATGCATAAGTATAATAATAATAATAATATGATATTGACATGAATAGGAATGAGGATAGGGTCAAAAGTGAGTGGCACAGATTGACCTTTGGCAAGGGACAGGCATAAGGTCAGAAAGTCTGGCACAGGTTGATCCTGGTGTATGGGATAAAATAGGAATAAAGCACAGCACGGGTTAAAATTTTTGGGTACAATTTGACCTTGCTTATGATAAAAAAAAATAGTGGATGAGTCGAAGGTATGACGTCACGGGAAAATACCGACTGGCCTACAGGAGTTCCAAAAGTAATTAGGAAGTAGGAAGCGATAATTCCTAAACGAAAGGACCGTACGTGCCCCCGGGTTGTAGGTGATAATTCCTAAACAAAACTGAAGGCTGCACATAGTTGGTGAGCTGTGTCGGCGGACTGTTGTGTTAATGATTACATTGTGTACGTTGGAAGTTGGAAGTTCCGGCCGATATCCGAC